TGAGTTCCTCTGCTAACCTTAGGCGGATCATCTCTACCTGCTGAAGCTCCATCTGCTCCCTTATAAGATGAGGCGGCGGGCTGGACTACCCACCCGCCATCTGACTAGCATCGGCCCCTGAAGTATTGGAAACTGATTGCGAACTCGTCGAGTTGGGCGACACACCCTGACCAAAGGTTGCTGCACATGTTGCTGAAGCGGTAGCCATTGCTACCCCGCTAGCTGTTGCCAACACTCTTGCTTCAGCCGCTGCAATTTACCTTGCAGCCTCAAGACTACGGGCCCTAGCTTCGACCCTTAGTCTTCTCTCTTCCCCAAGTTGTAGGGCTTGGAACACTCTGGGGATTCTGGGCAATGATAGCCTTGTTATCCTCCTCTCGTCAGTTGTACCTCTATACCCGGCTGATCCACTCATCGGCTAGGCAGACGCTGTCTGCACTAGAGTCCTCTCTGGGACCTACCGCAGCATACGTCTGACCGGTTCTAAAAATAAACAATATAAATTCATGTCCAACTAGTTAATTAGACTACCGGTCAAGCGGCATCAACAACATCTACACAAACTGTACACATAGTCTAACTCTATTCTGCTGATTCATTTCTCAAACTTCTATACTAAGGAATTTTCTAAGTTGGACTTACTTGTATCCAAAATTTGACCTATGTCTTTTCATCAGAGTTTCACAAATTTTTAACAGGGACCCCATGGGATGGTCAAGTGGAGAGCATCTTGTAGGGTCTTGGGGGATTTGTACTGAAGTAGGGGGCAAAGGGCATCAAATGATTCTTTGCAAGGACGGAGAGGGGATGGAATAGGGCTTTCTAAAGGGTACCGACTACGGGGAGCTCTTACTAGATGCGATTGGCGTTGGGTAGTTTAGGCTGTCCAATAGGTACCGACTGATGCGGGTGAGCCTTGGCGCGATTGGCATTGGGTAGTGTTGTTTCATCTCTTTCAGGATGGAGACTGAAATTCTTGTGGGGGCAAGGAATTTCAAGTTGATGATGGTGTCCTGCACCCTGCTGAGATGATGTTCTCTGGACTCGTTACAAGGACGGAGTTTGGAAGGACGAACGAGGTTCTTCCTTTCAATGATGGAGGCAGGATTGTTCGGGTTGTCTGTTTCTGGGGTTGCTTGTTTTCCTGAATTTGTCTTACTCGCATCAAAGTTCCATCAGCGTCTTAAAATGAGATTGTCAACTTAAGTATCTTGTAGGGTTTTGGGGGATCTGTTTTGAAGTAAGGGGAAGGGGCACAGAATGATTTTTTGCAAGGACGGAGAGGGGGATGGAATAGGGCTGCTTGACAGGTACCGGCTAGGGGGAGCTCTTATCAGATGCGATTGGCGTTGGGTAGTTTAGGCTGTCCGATGGGTACCAGCTGACGAGGGCCAGCTCTGGCGCAATTGGCATTGGCTGGTACTATTTCACCCCTTTGAGGACGAAAATTAGAGTTCTTGTGGGGGCAAGGAACTTCGGGGTGATGATGGTGCTCACCCCCTGTTGAGAAGCGGTCCCTCTGAAATTCTTTACTATGACGGAGTTAGGAAGGAAGGGTGAGACTGGGATGGAGGGAGTTGGAGTGGATGGGATTGGCGCCAAGTATCTTGGCGGGTACCGGGTACTACCGACCACTTGCTACTAACTCCACCTGGAACAACTTGATCGAGGCAGGATCCTTTTGGTTGACTGTTCCAGGGGTTGCATGTTGCCATATTCTCCATATTTGACCTATTATCAAGGGCGTCCCTGCTCAGTTAATCCCCTGGTTTCCGAGGCAATCAATGCTGGCAGGGGGAGGTTTTCTTTTTTTTTTTCTCAGAAAAGAGGTGAGCGGGAGAAGTAGATCGTTGGATATCAAGCGTCCTACTAGTGAGGGGGCTAGCTCATAGGATGGAAATAGGGTACACCAGCAGCGGAGATGGTGGATCTGCTGCAGTCAGGCTTGCCGGAGTGAGGTATAAGGGATTGATGGGGGATTTCTGAGTCATTTTCTAGACTTTGCCTAATTCTGAAGTTTGCCGTAGTAATTTGCTAAGTAGCTCAAATTTTTCTTAGCCAAAGTCGGGTAATGGCCCCAGTATCTCAAGCTTTCAAACTTCTATGCAAATTTTCATATGGGACACTGGGCCCCATTCCCAGCATGTGTTGCTCCCCACGAATAGATTGGAGCTTTGTTCAAAAAAAAAAAAAAAAAAAAAAAAAAAAAAAAAAAGTCTCAACTCTATTCTGATTAATTCTGCACAGAAGCTTCGAAAAGAACTGACTTTGGTAAGATTAGTCCTACTCTAGGCTGTCTGTTAGCTGTCAGCAGTCTGTCAACCAACTAATCAAAATAAAAATTAGATTAATGTGAGCAGATGTATGCACAATGGAAATGGTAGTGATGTATAGTAGAGTTCACAAGTGGAATCCCCTTCCCCTGTCTATGGTGTGCAATCACGGCTCAACCCTGTGCCCAAGAAGTATGCTTATGATCAGTCCTGCCCTTTGTTTACCCTCGTATGCTTATGACCAGTCCTGCCCTTTGTTAACCCTTGCGTGCAACGAGCCTTACGTCTGACGGATCTGGCTGATCAAGAGGCAATTTAAGGACAGCCCCCGAGAGTCCTCAGTAATTCTTTAACGTCGCAATCAGAACGACGATCACAGCCAGTAGACAGTTCAGACCCCAACCAGAAATTTTTATAGACGGTCTGGGAGCGTCTATATAAGACTGGTCAGTCCGCACACCCCTTCTATCAGCGCAGCAAAGAGCCTCAACGAACAAAGCAGCAAAGCCTGCGTGTATACTCCCATGGGTTGGCATGGTGACCGTGACCCGTGCTTCGACCAGGACCCTTCAGAGGCACCACCCTCTCCTGCCAGATGCGCCACCGGGAAGAATGTTGTCTCTCAAGGTAGAGCGCACACGACTCCTCACCAAAGAGAGGACACTCAAGTTGGACTCACTTCCTCACGGTAAGAAGCGATTGAGAGGGTAGATAAGGAATGGGAACAATGTACCTGGAGATAGCTGCCCCCAACCACAGATTTCTCACCAGCTGTGTCCGAAATTGGATTTAACGCGGGTTTCGCGTTGAAAAATTCAACGCACGTTGAATTCCCGTTAAACTCCTGTTCAAACGCGAGTTGGACGCGAATGAACGGGGTCCGGGATGTTTTTTTTCCTGGGCTAAACATTATCCAAAAAATCAAATAAAAATATGGGGTTGTAGGTTTTGTTGAGGACTACAACCCTGTATTTTTATTTTTATTTTTTTATGCTTAAATCTATTTTTAAAAAATCCAGACCATAAACACACAATGAAAAAACAAAAACTAAAATGAAATGAGTGTTTATGTTTTGGGTTTCACACAGATTTTTTAAGGGCTAAAACAAAAACAAAAAAAACAAATAAAAAATATAGGGTTGTAGATATTTCAAAGATGCACAACAATTTATTTTTTTGGAAATTCGTGTATTTAAAAAAAAATCATAACCATAAAAAGCAAATTAAAAAAAGGAAAAAAAGACACACACACACAACAAAATTGGGCCTGTAGCAGGTTGCATGAGTCTGGCGTCAGTTGGTTGAGGGAACCCAGGTCCTGGGCCGCCTGTGTGAATGTATGGAAAGCAGGCCCTGGGCTGGATACGGGTACTGGGCCAAACACAGGCCAAAGGCAGTTGGGGGCATGCAACCACCTCAGGCCCAAGGCATGTTCTCGTTCGTGCTGTGCCTMAGGCTACCGGGGCCTACTGGAAGCTTCCTGGGACTSAACACAGGCAGGCCACTTCGRTATAGCAAAGGGCCTGCCTCCACATTGGGCATKCGGGTGCTGGCTGCATRCTGCGTAAGCGCTGCCGCGCTGTAGCTCGTGCCACTCACGCGCTCACGGGCGAGCAGGAAGGAGCASGCASCCATAGCCGAGCTGCGCTGCTGTAAGCTGGGTGTGGCGCAGGGTGGTCCTTGGGTGCAAGTGGAATCTGTGTGTTGGGGAACGAGGTTGTGAGTAAGGCGAGACACACTCTCAC